AAAAAAAAAAAAAAAGATGAATTTCCAAGAAGCAGCAGACAGGATGGAGATCAACCAAAACCAGCTCTCACAATTACCAGAGGAACCAACCAAAGGAACCACAATCCTCAGAACTTGTTTCAATGGAATCAATGCTTTATCAGGTCCTTGTCTCTCTTTCTTAAATGAAAAAATTGTTCCTATAAATACACACACACTTCAAGCTATAATTATGTCGCAAAGGCTTTTTTCCCCCCTAAATTTGGGGTGACAAGATTTTAACTTTACATCTTGTGGTGGAGTCAGGTGTGGTGTTATTGATATGTTATGTTTGCTACCAGACAAAAAGGGCCCATTTTTAAGGCCATTGAGGAAATTGTTGTGCCTAATTCTTGATTTAAATTAATAACAAGTGTGAAAACGTGTAAAATATTTGTGCCTTTTATGGTTATATATTTTGTTCATGACATGCACTAAAATTTAACTAGTAGGTATCACACGTCACACTTTTTCTTAATTTACAGCATGTTACATAAATAGTGAATAATATATGATCAAGCTTGTTTGTCCCATTTTTCAGGTGTGGGACTACTATCAATTCCTTATGCACTTTCCCAAGGAGGGTGGCTAAGTTTAGCTCTCCTTTTCTCAGTAGCCATCCTCTGTTGGTACACAGGGCTGCTTCTCAAGCGATGCATGGACTCAAACCCACTCATCAAAACCTACCCGGATATCGGCGAGGCCGCCTTCGGACGCAAAGGACGAGCCGTGATATCCGTCTTCATGTACATAGAGCTGTTCCTAGTTGCCGTCGAGTTTCTCATACTAGAAGGTGACAACTTGGACAAGTTGTTCCCCAACACAAGCTTGAGAATTGGAGGCCTGAAAATGAAAGGTCAGAGAGGTTTCATGCTTCTGACTGCGCTTGTGATATTGCCAACAACGTGGCTGAGGAGTTTGGGAGTGTTGGCCTATGTGTCCGCTGGTGGGGTCCTCGCTTCGGTGTTTGTGGTGGGGTGTGTTCTGTGGGCTGGTGCTTTTGATGGCGTTGGATTCCATCAAGGAGATGAGATTTTGAAGCTCGGAGGAATTCCCACCACTATAAGCTTGTTTGTTTTCTGTTATTGTGGCCATGCAGTTTTTCCCACTTTGTGCAATTCCATGAAGGATAGAACCCAATTTTCAAAGGTAGCTAGAAAAGAAAAAAAGA